AAAAAAAAACAAATATGCACAAAAAATTTAAAAAGGGACATTAACAAACTCCTGAGGTTGGTGGAATAACACAGATGGTCGCTGTATAGGGCCAAACATTGTTATTCCTAGGTTCCTCATGGTGAGACGGTGACGTATTACAGGAGCGAGACGCTTCCTTTTACGTATTGTTTAGTCGGCCATTTGTGAGGCGAGTACGATGTGACCTAATGTCAAAGAGTTGCACAGCAGCAAAGGTGAGAAACCTGCTTGAATCTTTCAACGTTCATTCTTTCACTGGAAGAAGACTTCCTTACTGATGTTTATGAATATATTCGTACGACCATTGATAAGCACCGGTATATTTCAGAGACACAAAGAATGGACATCATGAACTAAGAGGGATTCAACAATTAGTCGCCTGGTGTGTTCATTGTTTGCGAGAAAGGCCATTCATCGACTAATTCCTCATGCCAGGTACATAAACGGTAGGTTGTCGGTGACCACGTTAACAAGCCACCATTCATTCGACAACTCGCAAACATCGATTCACTCTTTGCACAAACAAAAAACGTCACACCAGGAGACACCGTTATAATCCAGAGAGATACAGGCTTTGAGCGATTCCGGTGGTTCTTTTACTACTGGCAAATGTAGCAAGCATATGAAATAACTATCTGGCTGAGAGGGTACAATTGTCCATAGTTGGAAAATTAAAACTTGCAATTGAACAACACAATTTTACTGTTTCACAACTCGAAAGAGAGCTCCAAAGCCCGAAGATAGAGTACAAAGCAGTTATCTGCCCAACGGTTTGGCATCCGCTTTACACCTGGAGATTATGTGACACTGACGCAAGACTGTGCGGCTCGACTCCCAACGTCCTGCTTACGGGAGAACATATTGAGGTCGTATCAGGCCCAGTGGTCCAACAGAAGGTGATATTTTCATCCGGATTGTGAAGGCCAGAAGAGCTTTGGTGAACCCGCATCATCTATGTTGTAGGCGTGACGTCAGCTTATACGTCCGGGGTTGAGTTTACAATGCCATGAGACCCCAAGTCAGGACATAGCAACGGTTAGAAACATTACAGGTCATAAAGTAAGTTCGCTCTTAATGTTGCTTTTGCATTCATCCACTGCCTTCAGTGCATAGTTTCCCTCATAATTCCTCGGTAAAGAGCCCACTGACAACCCTGTACTTACGCATGACTTATACTAGCTAACGAATACCACTATTACCGCAACTCTTTGATTTTTCATTTTTGTGACCTGTGAGAAATCCATGAAAGGTTCCGTAGGATTTTAATAATGAATAGAATCTTAATTTGGTTCATATGCACTGCAACAGCGTTTATAAATGTTTGTTCCACTCGCACTCCGTTTTTGCCTAGGTGTAAAGTTTTTTTAAATAGAATCCCTCGCGACTTACATGGTCTCTACATGTATGTGATGAGTGTTGTTGACACAAATCAGTGATACCTAAAGCGGCATCCAGCGACTATGTATAAGTATATATATATATATAACTATACAGTCGAAAATGAGGTATTTATATTGCAGGTCCAATTAGTATGGGATGGACTGACGAGAAATTGTTTACGAGGTTGTGGTAATAGCATCAACCCCAGCTAACCCCTCCAAGGCGCAGCTATCTCCCGCCTCTTCAAATAATCGGTGGACAAACTGCTGTGGGGAAATTACGCCGTTCTCACAGCTGATGATGATGACGAGACCGGATGGATTCATCCGAAACCATAAGTTGTGGCAAATCGCCTGCCAAATCATTTCATTTTCAAGATTAAAAAAGCGACGATTCTAGCTCCACCTGCTTACTTTTTGAATTGCTCTTTCGCCAAAACGGCTTCAGCCAAAGCTTGCTTTCTCTGTGCGAAATCGCTGCGCTTAACAATCTCACCACTCCCCCGATATCCAAGTTCAACTAATTGCCGTGCTAATTCTTCATCCTAGAACTCTTTCCTCTCAATATGATCATAGTACCTCAAGATAAAACAAATCAGTTGCCGTTATCTGCGAATCCAGAAAATCTTCGTAAGTACTGAACTGGGTAACTGCGGAATCCAAACCAATAGGAAGGCCCTCATCCATATTGGCGCGTTTCGTTGCTGTGGTCTCAGGTCATTTGGTGATTTAGTAAAACGCAATTCCTTTTCTAATAATGAGACTGAGACAAGTATTTCCACGTGAGCCGAATCAGTCTTAAAGGGAGGGTAGCTGAGCCTGCGCTTGCTCAACACACGCCCCGTGGGACATGGCTTCCCATGCGGTATGTGCTTCCCGAATTTCACTAGGAAGTCATTCTAGTGTGAACAATACTTTCAGAAATTCACGGATTGGCAAACAGCATCGATGAGTTTGTCCAAGTTTCCTGGGTCAGTTTTGTTCTTGTCGTTGAGCGGCTGTCGTTCACCTGAGAAGAACAAGTGGAAACGGAGTGTAACACTGCTCTTCATGTTCTCAGCGCGGAGTAGTATGCTTGGCTGTGCGATGGTTCGCATGAAAAAATGTCTAATATTGTTTTGAAGAGGGTTCTAGAAGGGGCGTGGACAATTCTGGAAGGAAGGTCATTCTACGCAGCTACTACTCGAAATGGGAAAAAATTTCTCCTAATGAATGTATGCACTCCGAGCTCGAAAATCTTACCATGTGTGTTTTCTGGGTCAACGCTGAAAAACCTGCTGACCGAGCTTTGTACAAACAAGGCATATGTAAGAATTAGACCGCCTTGGAAGCGACGATACTCCAGGAGAATCAGATCAGGCATCGCGAGACGCGCTTTGTAATCCCTGGATATGAGGCCGGCAACAATTCTCGCAGCGGCTCATCCGACAAGCTCGAAGGGGATGACATCGTTCGTGTGTCTGGAGTAGACAATATAGTGCACGTAATCAGTTGTCACATTTACCATTTTCCCTGAACCCAAACTATGCTTCGTAATTGTTGTACATATTTTGTCATGACGTTTGTTTGAATGTTACGAATACACAATTTTCCGGTACAACCTGCTGACTTCTTGCTGAACGAGTGTATTCGCGCGCCTTTGGACTGTTTGCTGACTGGTGAACCAGTGGGACTAGCTCTCTGTGTTTGCATCAACTGTTGAACGTCAAAATAAATCCCCGTGGCATCTTTCAGCCTTCAATAACTTTCCTATCGTGGAATATATCACTCACACGTGAATCATACGTGGGAATTTTCTACGAGTGAATATTTCTTCCTCAGTCAGTTACTGCACTTGGATCGGTGTAGTAGACGGTTGGATCTACGCATTCGTGAGTCCTAAATTGACTATTCATTCTTTTCCCATTGTGATTTTGGTAATGGGTACTTTGCTTTTTAATTTGTTCAAACATGCTGATAAGATCGTTGTCCGCTACATAATTGGTGAGCCCTAACCATTCCTTAACTTTTTTATCTGCGGTACTCCCGTGCTTTATTATATTTATTTTCCACTACGGCATGGCTTCTGAACAAACACAGACATCCGAAATAGACAACGTGGTTTACGTTAAGTTGCCTGAATTTGGTGCACGTGATCCGAGGCTATGGTTCGCACAATTTCAGGCCATTTTCGAATCGCGTCTCTTTACCTCGCAGAGCAGCAGGTACAACTATGTGGTAGGATGCTGACCAGACTTCGTTGCCCGAGAAGTCGCTGACTTAATATAAACCCGACCGTTCACCGATCCGTACGATGCTCTCAAAGCAGCTATCATTTCTCGTACCGCTTTCAGTGATGAGCAGAATCTACGGAAGCTTCTCTCCGGTGTTGACGTCGGCGATAAATCAGCGTCACAACATCTCCGCCACATGATGCACTTGCAAGGTAAGCATCCGGCCAACTACGCGGTTTTGGAAGAGCTCTGGCAACAGAGCCTGGCCACCGAAGTCCGTAAAGTCCTTTCTGTCATCGAACAGTATTCTTCCTTAGCGAAGCTAGCCGAGGTGGCCGACCGTGTCCATGAAACCTGCAGACAATCCGTGGTCTCTAACGTTCAGCAACAATCCACTTCGCAGTGAAACCTGTAGCTGGAGTTCAATGCTATAGAAGCTCAATTTTCCGAGTTATCCCTCCAACTTAATGAAGTCATCAAGGTCATTGGTCACCCTCAACGACATATAAGGTTCCGGTCTCCATCCCGCAGTCGTGTTCCTAAACACAGCGCCCAACCTGGCTGGTGCTACTACCACCGTCGCTTCGGCGATCGCGCCGTCCGATGCATCAGATCTTGCACTTTCCCCACGAAGCCCTCGAGTGCGGGAAACGCCATGGCCTGCCAGTAATGGCGACCATTGCACAGGCTCCTCTATCTGTCGCCTGTTCTTCATGTATGACCGCTCCACATCTTTGAGTTTCCTCACCGTTACCGGTGCTGAGGTTAGTGTAATCCCACCTACACGCAAGCATAACCTGCAGCCGGTGGCATATACCCTACAGGCAGCCAACGGTACGAGCATTAAGACTCATGGTGATAAGCTTCTTACTCTCGATCTTGGTCTTCGCCGTCAGTTCCCGTGGGTTTTCACAGTGGCCGACGTCAAAAATCCCATTATTGGTCTGGACTTCCTTACGTCATTTGTTCTTATGGTTGATCTTTACAGACGGCAGTTGCTTGATAATTCGATGGTTCTCTCTATAAATGGCAAAGCTTCATCCAATAATTCTATCGGAATCCGCCCAGGTTTGCCGGATAATCGTTACACAGCACTGCTTCGTCAGTTTCCAGAGATCCTGAAACCTGCTTCTAAGACCACTCCCGTAAAACATGATGTTTTCCATCATATTTTGACAAAAAACCCACCCACCACATCCCGCCCACGACGGTTGGCTCCGGAAAGCTCGCCATAGCCAAAACCGAATTCCAACTATGCTTCAACTGGGCATCATGCGACCGTCATGCAGCCCTTGGTTATCTCCACTGCTTATGGTCCCTAAAATGTCCGAGAGAGATTGGAAACCATGTGGCAATTATCGCGCACTAAATCGTGTCACCATCCCGGACAAATATCCTATTCCGAATCTACATGATTTCGCCCTTACCCCTCACGATAAATCTGTCTGCAGTAAACTAGACCTTGTCAGAGCATACCACCAGATACCTGTCGCTCCAGACGATATTCCCAAAACTGCTATCACCGCTCCATTCGGTCTATATCAATTCGTTCGTATGCCATTTGGGCTCAGAAATGCAGCTCAAACATTTCAACGATTCACGGATCAAGTCTTACGGGGATTAGACTTCGTCTACGCTCATATCGACGATGTGCTTATCGCCAGTCGGGCCGAAGACGAGCATGTGCTTCACTTAAAGCAAGTTTTTGAAAGATTTCAGCAATATGGTATAGTC